AAGAGTTGCACAGAGGAGAAGAATTGCAGCATGTGAACGTGGAATATAGGGGATGAGAATAGCTTAAAGTCCTCCTTCAAGTATGACTTTGGTCTCCATTGCTGGTGGAGTCCGTTCGAGAATTATAGTTTAAGCAGCACTGTGGAGGTGTATGGGCTTGAATTGTTCTAACCTACACGTCGAAAGTCATGTTCTAATTTAAATTTATAAATGTCGCTGAGCCGTAAAGTGATCATCCGTCTTAAACAAGGAGTTTGTATTATGAAGAGCCCCTGGATATGCTGGCATAGGAATCTGGGAGTACAGGTTGCGGTAAAGGAAGGCAACTAGCTTCTCCATGATTTGTCTGAAGCTCTGGGTCACACCTGAGCTATCTGTGCACCTTTTTTTAATTGAATCTCGAGCATCCAACAGAATTAAAGAGGGCAATAAAACTCATGCTGGAGCAGAAATTCCCAGGCCAGATCCTGCTCTCCATTATAACACTATAAATCTGGCATTGTCCCACTAGCAGCTAAACTCTGCTCCTGATTGCACCGGGTTAGGTGGAGTGGAGCTCCACTGAGGAAGACTCTTACCTGGTGTGAGATAAGCTTAGCTCTATGGACCGATATCCGGTACATGAGGTGAGGATCTGGCCCACACTCTAACATCCATTGACATTACTAGAATCAATGGGCACTACTGGGCCTCCAGGGTTTCTGTTAAAATGACAAAAGACCCCACCGATTTTTATACTGAGCTATAAGTAGCTTTGGTGGGAAATTCAGTATGCATCCCCATTACCAGACCAGAGCGCAATCTGCAGCAGAGCCAAATCGGGAAGGATGCCTTCCTGCACGTTGTTAATAAAAGCTTTCATTTCTTCATTGCAGCTGAAAGCAACGATGGCTACCACATCATTTTAAAATGACCACTTGGCCTAGTGGGACTTTTCACAGCCTAATAACGACAGTGCCTCACTGAGGATTACTACCACCCAGACTGGAAACATGAAGACCCTTTTGGATATAGTGCTCCCGTGAACTGAAACAATACCAGATGTCCTTGAGGAAGAACTAACCTTATAGCCCAATAGCTTTCTTAGGTTGGAGATGAGCATCTCCCAGAGTCTGTACATATTATTTTTTCCCATCACCCTACCCTTCAGACCCTAGAGTCATTGAGGTCTCTAGTAATTGCACAGAAACACCTATCATATTCTAAAGGGAAATGCAAAACAATTGTCCAGCCCCTTCATGGTTGGGTATGGGTAGATTGATCTGTTATAGTTTCTGATGCCATATGAAACCATCTATGACACAACCATAATCTTGCTGGGCCATATCTGTCATTCGCTGGGCTCCTCACAGAAGGTAGCGGTGACTACTGCTTTCTTTTACTAGAAGAGGTGACAGTGCTAGTGCCCCTCTTTGCATAATAACCTAGTGCTTGGAGTACTTCTCCAGGATGTCATGGTCCTGAGGTTTAATTCCCTTCTCAGCCTTGGAGGTTTGTACTCCTATCTTTCATCTCCTAGGAGGGTGCCTTAGTCACCTTGGTACAGAGTCAGGGTACATCCATCTTTTTTACCCTTCTACTGAAACTGTGTCACGGTCCAGGAGAGTACCCGAAACTCACTGGGCTAGACAGCATGCATGACTGGTGAGATATTGGTGACTGGGGTACTCAGCGGAGGAGGAGGAGATAGAGTTCAGGTCCCTGTTACCAAGGTTGCTTGTCTTGCACTCAACAGACCTGGAGTTAAATCCACTCCCCTGAGCTTGGGGAGATGTAGGTCCTAGTATCTCAGGCAGAGAACGGAGTTGGACAAGGGTTGGTCACCATGAAGTTATTATGCAAGAGGGACCATTGGTACGACTGCCATCACCTCCTCAGCCTTTTGAAAGGAAGGGAGCAAGCGCCTGCTGTCAGGGGCAGACTCCAGGTTGTGGATCCGCAGTGGACAGAGATGACTAGCATCAGCACTAAGGCACTGGGGAGAGGGAATCTGGTTTTAAGACCAACCCACGTCTTCAGCCTTTCCTGTTGGCTTGCACACGGTAGCTGGACACTGTAGTGGGCTGACACTAGGTGCCGACCAGTCGGTCGCGGCTGTTTGTGATTCTTGCATTTCTCCTCCATCTTTCCCATCCAGAAAAAAATCCCGTATATTCTGAATGAATGGCTTATCCTCTTACCTTCCCATTCATTTTGCCAACCAAGCAGGTTCTGGGCTAATCCACTCCTTTTCTTGGTACCCTGCCAAAGTCTCCCCAGGCCCCTTCCCTCCCTGCTTGCTCATTCAATGGTGAAATGTGCTTTCAAAATATTTTTGTAACTTTTTGTAGCTCTATCCCATTGTTACCCCACGAGGTGAAAGGGGATTATTCATCATTCGAGTGCGCTGTCAGCAACACTCCATTCAGAAGAACTTTGCACAAAGAGAAAATGCATGCATTACAATGACTTTAGGGATTCAAATGAGGGGGAAAAATCAGCTGGATGGGAAACAGTTCAGCTGTTTCAACCACTTGATACGTCCAGCTTTAGAATAGCCTCTGTTGAATAACTTTCATTTTGAGGGCTTATTTTTAAGACTGTAGACCCTTTTTATCGCTATAGATTTAATTCTGTTTGACAAAGCTTATGTTAACTGGCACTTGCTGTAACTGGGAATTAGATTTTTGGCTGTATCTTTTTATTTTTCGAAGCTGTCCGCAATAGCAAATGCAATTCATTTATTTGAATCCAGGCTCAGGTAAACCAGCGCTTTGGGTACTGCTTCTTGCATACAGCTGCTATTTATTTTATTCTTGCTTCTTGTTCAAAAACTCATGGTTATCGTTGGCCTCTCTGGGCCCTTCTTGTAGTGTCCGCTGGACATCCCCATTTCTACGCCGCATGACCTTTATACTTTGGATTTTGTTTTCGCCCTGAAGTGGGCTTAAAAGTTGAAATGTCAAATTTTTTTCATGGAAAGAAAAGCTTGATTATAGGCCAGGCCAGGCCAGGAGTGCCGAAACCAAGTGTTTGGCTGTTTCCAACCTGAAATGCTCAATTGGATGTTAAAGGATGTGAGCTCGAGCCAGCATGGAGGATGGATCAGAGTTGTCATTTGCATGCCTCCATGCTCCCTTTTTAATTATGGGCTGAATTCCCATGATGCACTGCAGTCAGAGGGATAGCCCAGAGTGCCGAGTCAAAGGCCAGGTAGCTTGGAAATCTCGACTGCAATGTTCACGAGCTGCTAAAGCTCCAGAATGATAAAATTCGGATCCTGCAAAGACTTACGACTTGGCTTAACGCTTATAATCAACTTGTGTCGTGTGAGGTGAGCCGTTTCGGTTCAACACCTCTGCCCCTCCTCGCAGGGTCAGGGTTTGCATCGGAAAGGATACTACTTCCGGTAGGGATTTAGGCACCTCTCCAGTTATGAATGCTGCCTCGCTACGGTCTAAGATGTTTAAATACATAAATAACAATCTTAAGGGTCTGACTTGAACTAAGTCATTAAGAGGAAGGATTTGCTGTTCTGCCCATCATACTTTGGATGCAGGCGCTGTATGTGCTGTGTTGGGTTTGTGTCCTCGATAGTGGTATACAACTTCCACTCGTTCCTGGGGAAACCCGGTACCGTTTTGGTTGTAATCTAAGCTGAGTTTGAAATGGGGCCTCGAATCTTTTTTTTTTTTTCCTCCCCTCTTTCTCTCAAATTCGGTGGCCGTTTGATACAAAGTTTTGCACTAGGATAATTTCCGTACCGTTTCATTTTTTCACGTAGCTTTCATTTAGTTTCATTTCGTAGGTGGTTGATAGGAAGTCACTGGCATTCTGGGATCCTGACTGCATTTTTTCTTTTTGCAGTCCTACTTTATATTGTTGACCCATCTCTCTTAAGACCCTTCTCCTTTTATACCACACTTGATTAAACAGATCTGATACAACAAGCGTGGTTTTTAAATGTTCATTGGACAGGTCCAATTTTGAGTCTGAAATGCTATCGTGCAACATGCTATCTCTGAAATGCTGCGACTGCAGCCATCCCACAGTTGGAGTAAAGCATTGTGAACAATCATTCTGAATTTTCTGGGAAACATCATTCATAATCACACTTTAGCATGCACCAAACTGTATTTGCCCCAGACTGTTTCATTTACCCTTGGTTATTTTAGCAACCGATTTTTGTTTGCAAGGAAGTACATGAGACTGGTACCAAAATACTGGCCTACATGGATTTTGTAACAAGACAGCGATCTCTACCAGAAGTGTCTGGGGTTTGTTTTTTCCTTTTAAATTAGAATATTTATGCTACCTCTCTTCCTAGTTTGAATTCCTTTATAGAGGTAAAAAGCTGCCTTTGGTGTCAGGACGTTTTGCTCCCCTTCCCATATTGGAACAGGATATACCAGTACGAGCCCTCTTGTACCAGCCGTAGCAGATTTGAATTGTTTAACTCTTGATTTAGCTAAAGCCACATGACTCTTGAGTATAGCCAATTACTCCCTAATTATTCCCAATTAAGCCCTAACTTAATTGTTAAAGGAATAACTGAGATTCGTTGAGACTTGTCACGGCTCAGTGAGATACTGCAGTTAAGGAATCGGTGCATTTGTACAAGTCTTTATACAATGTCTTGCAGCTAGCGTGGGGCATTTTAAGACTATCCTCCTGACTCCAGGGCTACTGCAGGTTGTCACACCTTTGCGTGACTTTGCAAAACCTGCACACTTCAATGATTAACACGCAGCATGTTCTCATGTGAGCCTGCACCTACTAACTATTTTCTGCTATACTGTTCCCAGACTGCACTGTATGGATGTGTAGGCCTTAAATTCATCCCAAGAAACACTACTCTGCATAAAGACAGTGGCCCAAACCAATGACCTAAGGTTAAATGCAGGATCCTGACATGGGCCAAGAAAAAAGGTGCGTTTACCTATACAAAGACAGATTTCTTGGCTTTTTTTATGTATTGTAAATATGCAAAGGGGGTAATCCTCCCACTATGGTCCAATTACTCTGATCTTTTTGGAATGGGTAAAAGTGCCTAAAATCTTGTTTGTCCTCAGTTCTCTCTTATTCTTTTTTTTTTTTCCAGTTTTTTTTTTTTTTTTTTTAACATAACCAAATCTCCAGTTCACTGTCAGGGGAAATGATTTTGCCTCTCTTCTCTTAAATCTAGAGCTTATAGATGGCATCCTGAACTTCTCTAGTACTTTGTCCCAGTACAATCTGTGATTCCTCTGCATGTGAAAGGGGAGGGAATCAAAACTACGAATGAAAGCCATGCAACACACTACATGATTTATGAAATCATTTTGCATATTTATCACGGATCTGGTTTTGGGTATGGGCTTCCGCTTTTGTATCACACTCACTATAACATGATACAAAAGCAGAAGCCCATACCAAAACCAGATCCATGATAAATATTCAAAATGATTTCAGAAGTCACATTGTCCCCAGGCTTACAGAATTAAGTCAGTGGGGACAAATGCTTCTTTTTCAAGTGGTGATGGGCAGAGCATTCATGAAAGCATCTCGCTCTATTCTCTATGGAAAGTATAGACAAAACTTCTGGAGGAAAAAGAGGGTATCTTGATCTTCTGATTATAAACGAGTGCCTTCCTTGTAAGATGGTGCAGTGCCGGCAGTATAGAAGTGAACTCCCCCGGTACCCACCTCTTGCTGTGTTAACTGGCCAGGACTTCAATAGGTTGATTTGCCCCTGGGGTAGGCTTTCCAGACCTGAGGGCATGAAATCTCAGTGTACACACGTGGAAGGATTTTTTGCCTGTTGGTTTCTGGAAGGTGTTTGACGCATGTATACTATACCGTATATATAGACATGTATATACGCTGGGTGTTTTGTCCTTTGGGCTTTCACTGGTACTCTGCTGTGTTTCATTTCCATTCACAGTCAGGAATTAGTTGATCCAGCTTGAATACCTACCCGGTTCCTTTTGGAGAGATCTTTCCAAGTGCATTATATACTTGCCATAGCTTGAAACGTGGTACACTTGAAACAGTTAGTGTACCTTTGATGCCTTTCTTAAGATACAAGCCCCGTGCCTTGCTAAAGACAATCCACGTTTTTGACACTATTGCTGTAGTTCTACATTGCAGCTTTGGGATGATTTCGTTAAACGCAATTAAAACCATTACATCGGGCAATGTTTCATAAACACGAGCTATTTCCTAAATGAAATAGCCATGTCGCAGCGATGCTAGGCTGGTTGTATTGCTTTGCTGTTTGGCTGCAATTCTAGCAATCCTGCGGAGGATGACTGTGCTGGAGTGCTGATTATTATTTGACTGTGCTTTCGAAGAAACATTTGTGCTCCTATTTTCTTTCCCCTCCGGCTTATGAAATGGTTAGCTTTCTGCTTCATCTGCTAATTCTTTTTTGATATATTTTTTTTTTTCTTTGCAAAAATCATGGTCTGATCTCACTCAGAGTAGTGCACAGTCTGCTGGGATTGACATCTTTTTAATTTGGGTGAATACCAGGCGACTGACTGGATGTATAGTTGAATATACTTGTCTAGGTTTAGAAGTGGGTTAAGTGAATACCTTACTTTCTGTGCCTTTCAGATTCATAACTTCTTTTTTTTTATAATTCTCTAAGATTTGTTCAGTCTCTCCATGAGCTTTTTTTTTCCGTTGAAATTTCTTTCTTAAAAGGCTTATGTTTCTCCAATATTTGTTTTAGTTGTACGTCGTTGTTATCCCAGTTGGGTTGGGGTAGGTGTTTCTGCTAAAGGGTGGTGGGGGTTACCTCTCTTCACTCACAATGCAGCCATTGGGGATATGGTAGATGACATTTGACCAATTAAGAGTGGTTGGCAAGGGGAGGGGGACGGGCTAGCAGAGGTGGGTGGAGTGAAGGCTGGGGCGTACCAGTTGTAAGTCATGCTGCCACACTGTTTTGGGATTATTTTTTTGTTCGTCATTTGTTTTGTTTTTGTACGTGAAATTTAAAAAAAAAAAAAAGCATATTTTGCACTGGCTATTGAACTGTTGTGCAGAAGAAAAGAAATCTGTCTCTAAAATCTGTGCTCCAGTCAAAATGCAAATAAACTGGTTTGTAAGAAATGTGCTACGTCTTCATGCTTGGCCAGAGATGGCCGATCCCTGACCTTTTGGTCTTACAAGGCTGTGTCTAATGGTAGCATTTCCAGGCTACACTACTGGTTTGACAGTCCGTCGGCTAAATTTAATCTCCATGCCTGTGCTGAGCTCCCTGCAGAGACTCTGAGAGTTTGACCCTGCCAGGTGCAGACCACTAGCATGCAAGTGTTGTGCTGGATTTGGGCTAGCATGCTTCCAACGTCACTGGGCTCAGTTAGGCTTGCCTTCCTGTCCTCTCTCTCCTGTGCTGGGAGCTGATCAGGGTGTTGCTTCGCTTGCAACGGTGACATGGCCTATAACCCAACAGTAGGGTTATAGGCCATCCCAGCACCAGGGATTTAAGTAGGATATAGGAACGCTTTGAACATGCATCTTTTCCATTTCATCCCTCCTTTCATACCACATATTCTTGGTGCCAGGAGACTCCTGGTAATGGTAGCTGTGCTGATTCTGCCCTTACAGGTACCCTTCTTGTATAAGAAGAGCACCACAGGAGGCCCTCACCATGATGGGATAGTCCTCAGGTGGTGGAGCCTGCTGGCTGTATCTCCTTCCACTTCACTGGTTGACCACCAGTGACTTCCCCTTGTTTAAGGTAGTTTGAAGGACAGGAGAATGAGCAGCTAAATCCTTAACTCACCCCCTTTCCCCAACCAAAGGCCACTAACTTTACCCAAACTACCCAAGAACCACACTCTCATCTCTGAATCTGGTCAAGAGGCATGGTGGGCTGAAATGTGGACTAGGCACAAGGCAGTGATTGGGAGGTGGGTGTCCAACAACAGCATGCTGGGAAGAACCTGCTCGGGCAAGGTATTGACTGCCCTTATTTCAATTAGTCATTGGGACTGAGGGCTTGAAAGACTGAACCCCAAGGGAAGCATCATGGCATTTGAACCCCAAGGAAAGCATCATGGCATTTCAGAGCTGGGCATGCAGACCTCTTTTCTTACTCGGTTACAGAAGGGTGTTGATTGGTTGCAGTCCAGTTACTTTATCTGGAGTAGGTACCACCAAAATCTTCAATAAAGAAAGCAAACGGTTGTTTTCAGTCCCGGATTAGACCTTGACCTCAGTTTCGCTATGAGCAATAGATGAAAGGGAGATTTAGTCATCTTGAAAATGTCCATCCTCAAGAACACACGAGTCCAAGCAAGAGGTTTTACGTGTCCACGAGGCTAACGCTGTATCTGGTTTATGAGCTTTACTGTGGTGGAAGCACGTTGATAAAGCAGACGGTAATGTCCACAGAGATGATGTTCAAACAGATGTCAAACTTTTAGCCTTTATTAAAAAGATGTAGAACAGCAGCCTACAGGCTGTGATGACCACAAATAACATGTGTTTTTTCTGAAATATTGAAACACGAGCATGTGAACCACCTGTTGGAGAAAGAAATCTCTAAGTTACGTAAAAAGGGCAGCCGACCTAAGCAACAAGAACAAGTCAAAGGGAGAGGAAGGGAAGTGGGAGAGGAAGGGGACATAAAGAATGGGGATACGAGTCAATTGTGCTTCTTCTCTATCCCTATTGATTGCAGAGATTTTGGGAGTGGGGGGCACATTTTCTGCAAAATACAGAATCTTCCAGCCGTCGCGCTTCGTACCAGATAGGAGCATCCGGTGTGGATTACAAAACTAAAGCTGCATGTATATGGTGGCACAGGCATTTATCAAGGATTATTCTTCCAAAAAGGACCAGAAACTGGAAGCTGTAAAGCAATGCATTCTTCAGTGAGAGGGCGGCAGCAGCCACCATTCCCTTGCTCTTGCTTTAAACTCTTTTATTGATATTACCCATGTACTGCACTGGAGAGTGTAGTCAGGATATGCTAGGTTTGCCACTGCTACTGCAAGGTGTTCGTGATCTGAAACGGGATTGTTTAGTAATATCTTTTTTATGGCTAGGAACAGGTGCTGCATTTGTCCCTGGACAAATTGTGCCTGTTTTTGTCCCAGAACAGAATAATATCCTGGGCTTGGCATGTAAACACATCGGGTACACACCAGGTTTAGTGAGCAGCTGAGTGCACTGCCGCTTTTCTGCATTGATTCAATGATACAATCCCAATAACCATTCAGAAGCACTTTACAATGTCCTGGGATGAACTGTTAGTGGTACTTACTAGCTGAAGCCTGCAAAACATTTGCAATTAAATTTTTATTGCAAAAGTATTTCTTTAAATACAGGATTTTTAGTTATCCATTGACCGAATACTTTAATGGACTCAAAACTTCTCACCCTCGGAAAGGCTACATAAAGCTGTCCATGTAGAAATATAGGCGTAGGAATATAAATACATATTTTGTCAAAAGTCTGACCTTGTGACTTGTTCACAGTCGGAGAATAAGAGGGTCCTTGTACACATGAGGAAATTGCCCCTTCTAGTGGTTTAATTGCCTTTTTTAACGATTTAATTGAGTAACGGTGTACATGTTCGGCGGCGTATTTCAATTTAAATGACTTTTTAACGTAGCAAACTTGAATACATCCCATGTATTTTAGTTTGTTACATAAATTACAGCAATAGTCCTCACGCGTCCAGGGGCCCTATCCAGAGAAGGCGGCAGGGATGGTGCATGGGGCGCTGGAAGCCCGGGCATGCTCAGGGAAGCCCTGTGCACCGTCCCCGCCACCTTCTCCAGCTCCCAGCACACACAGCTTCCCTCCTGCCACCTTCCTGGGGCAGCCAGCCCATTCCCAGGCGGTCCCAGGCAGCGGGAAGGCGGCAGAGATGGTGTACAGGGGGCTGGAAACCCACCAAGCCTAAGCTTCACTGAGCACATCTGGGCTTCCAGTGCCCTGTGCCCCGTGGATCTGGCAGGTGCTGCCTGCAAGCTGGGGCTGCACCCATGCATCTTGCCCGGGCGGCCCTGGGGGGGGGCACTGCTGCTACAGAGGGAAGCACTGGGCCGCCCTGCAGCTCAGGGGCCGTGCAACCCAGTGGCAGCTCATGCGGGCAGGCTCCGCTGCGGGGTGGGCAACAGCAGTGAGGGACCTCATCTTTTTTTTTTTTCTTTTGCTCCTGGAGCCTGCCTGTGTTTCCTGCGGCCAGGGGGTGAGCTGCTGGTGGGTCACGCAGCCCCTGAGCTGCAGGGGACCCCGGTGCTTCCCTTTGTGGTGGTGGTGCCCCCGGGTAACACCCACCTGCTGGCACCCTGCCCATGTGGTCCCACTGTAAGTGCAGGACATGCTTAAATGACATGATAGCCTTCCTACACTGGTGCTCCTACTGTTGCTATTTCTCATGGGGCCAGTGGGAGGAATATTTGGAAAAAAAGTCTGATGTAAAAGACCTGGGAGCAGTCCTTAGCAGATGTACATTGCTGTAGCTACTGGGTCTTTACAGTTAAGAGTCCAGATGAAAAGAGGCTCTCTAAGAAAAGACAAGATAGGCCTTTCCCTAGGATGGCTTAGAAACAGTGAATCCTGTGTTGTGCAGGACTAGATCCTTCAGGTTGCTTCCTACCCTTATGATTTTATGGCTCAGAGATTGCTGCACATCAGTGATGAATAAAACATCTCCTTGTTCCTATAAAGTTTATAACATACCATCACGTCTTCCAAAAGGTTGTGCATTGTTCTGACGTGCAAGGCAGGTGTACTGATAATGTGATACCCACCTGGTCAATGGAAGACCCAGAGGAAGACCTAGATAAAGCAAGGTAATTAGTCAACTGAAGCATGACCCATGATATTAAGGTCAGGTGAATATGTCTCCTTGGACTAACTTTTCACGTCACTAAGCTGAAGCAAACTATTTTTGTTCTCTGCTAGGGCCAAACCAAACGATGCATCCTTTGAACCCTCTTTTAGCTGAATAAGGGGGCTTTATAAATAAGGCAAGAGTCAACATTGGCAAGTTAAATTTATTTGCGAACTGAGCTACAAGAGCACATTTAGAAAAGAAAAGACCCCTGGAAATTCACCAGGAGTTGGTAGTTGTAATTAAGACTGGACAAGAGTTGAAAAGAGCCTTTCATGAGGAAGTGAAGCCAAGTGCTGAGGCTAGAGCTGCCTGGCCAAAGCTTTGGGCTAATCTGATGTAAATCCCTCACAGCAAGCAAACAATTTTTATTGATTTTCCAACTTCCAAAACAATGCTGTCTTTCAATTCAAAGGATTACTGGTGCCGCTATGGAGCAGGCAGCCGTGTGCACGCTTTCCATGAATAAACTCAAGGCTTCCATAGTGACTTGTGCAAAGGGCCACATCCTCCTCCTTTCATTGTTTTAGTGCTCAGTTGTCCTAATCAAATCTGTGCCCCGTTGTGCTGGGTGTTGTACAAACATCGGAGGTGGTCTCTGCCCTCCCAAAATATTAGAATCTAAATAAAGTTGGGGAACGGCTGGACAGGGGAGAGAGGAAGTACAATTCCCTTCTTCTTACAAGTGGAGAACTAACTTTCCAAGGGGGCAGAGACCCTGGTTTCAAAGATGATGAACAGCTGCAGACCCTAACAAAGTCAGTCACCCTTGCAAATCAGTTCATAAATAACTTCTCCAACATAGGCAACACATAGGTGGGGCATGTGCCCCCCCGCACAGTAAGGCCACTGCCACCTGTGGCACCTGCAGGAGCTTGCCAGCTCCACGCCTGACACTGGCGGCGGTACCTGTGGGTGCCCCCCCAGACTCAGGGGGCACCAGTCACCCATGTTCTCCAATATCTTAACTGGGATGGTTTAGTCGGGGTTGATCCTGCCTTGAGAAGGGGGCTGGATGAGATGACCTGCTGAGGTCCTTTCCAGCCCTATTGTCCTATTATCTTCAGCAGGCTTGGACACTGAGGCTGTGGACACACAAATGCTTCCAGAAGGGCACCAGCCAGTGTGTTTTACCAGTTGTGTGTGAATGAGCTGAGAATAATTCAAATGCTGCAGACCTCTGCAACGCTAACCCAGGGTAAACGGGTGTTGAAGTTGGAGTGTGCGCTGCATTTGAATTGTTCTCAGCTCGTTCACA